AATCTAATAGGTATGAGGTAGTACCTCAGAATTGTTTTAAGTTGCATTTCTCAAATCAATAGTGATTTAGAGCATTTTTCACATGGTTATAGACAACTGTTGTTACTTATCTGAAAACTGTACATATCTTTTGATCATTTATCAATTGAGGAAAGGCTTTTGTTTTTACAAATTTCACTAATTTCCCTATATATTTGAGAAATAATATCTTTATAAGAAAAGTTTCAATTTTTTTACAATCATCATTGTTAATTACATTTCCCTCCATCCTATTTATCTCCCTCTTTATTCTATTCTCTCTCTCCTTTTAACCTGTCTCTCCTCAAAAGTGTTTTGCTTCTGACTTCTGCCTCCTCCAATCTGCCTTCCCTTCTATCATGGCTCCCTTCTTTTATCCCATTCCCCTCCTACTTTCCTGTAGGGGAAGATAGATTTCTATACCCACTTGAGTATGTATGTTATTTCCTCTTTGAGACAATTCTGATAAGTTTAAGGTTCACTCACTCTCCCCCACCTCCCTTATCTTCCCCTCCACTGTAGAAGGTTTTTCTTGACTCTTTTATGTGAGATAATTTACTTCATTCTGCCTCTCCCTTTCCCTTTTCCCCAATGCATTCCTTTTTCTCATCTCTTAATTTTATTTTTTAGATATCATCCCTTCATATTCAACTCACACCTGAGCCCTATGTCTATAAAATACCCCTTCTAACTTCCCTAGTAATGAGAAAGTTTTAATGACTTACAAGTATCATCTTCCCATGTAGGCATATAAACAGTTTAACTTCGTTAAGTCCCTTATGGTTTCCCTTTCCTGTTTACTTTCTTATGCTTCTCTTGAGTTGTGCATTTGAAAGTCAAATTTTCTATTCAACTCTGGTCTTATCAAGAATGCTTGAAAGTACTCTACTTAATTGAATACCCATTTTTCCCTTGAAGGATTATACTCAATTTTGCTGGGTAGGTGATTCTTGGTTGTAATCCTAGCTCCTTTTCCCTCTGGAATAACATATTCCAAACCCTTCAGTCCTTTAATGTAGAAGCTGCTAAATCTTGTGTTATTCTGACTGTGGCTCCATGATGCTTGAATTGTTTCTTTCTGGCTGCTTGCAATATTTTCTCTTTAAGCTGGGAGCTCTGAAATTTGGCTATATTATTCCTGGCAGTTTTCATTTTGGGATCTCTTTCAAGAGGTGATGGGTGGATTATTGCAATTTTTATTTTATATTCTAGTTCTAGAATATCAGGGCAGTTTCTCTTGATATTTTCTTGAAAGATGATGTCTAGGCTTTTTTTTTTTTTGATATTGGCTTTCAGGTAGTCCAATACTTTTAAAATTTTCTCTCCTGTATCTATTTTCCAGGTCAGTTGTTTTTCCAATGAGATATTTCCCATTGTCTTCTATTTTTTTTCCCACTCTTTTGGTTTTATTTTATTTCTTGATTTTTTATAAAGGCATTAGTTTCCATTTGATCAACTCTAAATTTTAAGGAATTATTTAATTCAGTGAAGTTTTGTATCTCCTTTTCCACTTGGCTAATTCCAATTTTTAAGGGTTTTTTTTTTTCTCCAATACATTTTTGTGCTAGGGGCAGCTAGGTAGCACAGTGGATAGAGCATTGCCCTGGAGTCAGGAGGACCTGAGTTCAAATCTGGTCTTAGATACTTGACACTTACTTACTATCTGAGTGACCCTGGGAAAGTTACTTAACCCCATTACCTAGCAAAAAACAAAACAAAACAAAACAAATAAATAAATAAATGGTTTTTGTGCTTCTTTTTCTATTTGGCCATTTCTGCTTTTCAAGACATTCTTCTCCTGACTGACATTTTGTACCTCTTTTGCCATTTGGCCTAATGTGTTTGTAAGGAGTTATTTTCTTCAGTATTTTTTTTTCTGCCTTTCACAACCTGTTGACTCTTTTTTCATGATTTTCTTCCATCACTCTCATTTCTCTTTCCAATTTTTCTTCTACTTCTCTTACTTGATTTTCAAAATCCTTTTTGAGCTCTTCCGTGCCCTGAGGCCAATTCCTGTTTTTCTTGAATGTAGAAACTTTGACTTTTTTATCTTCTTCTGAGTGTGTGTTTTGATCTTCTATGGTCAGATTTTTTTGTTGTTGTTTGCTCATTTCCCCAGCCTATTTCTTCACTTTTAATTCTTTGTTAAAGTAGGTTTCTGCTTCCAGGGTGGAAGATGTACTGCCACAAGCTTCAGGGGTTTTGTGCAGCTGTTTGCAGAGATATTTCTAGGCACCTGTAAGTAAGGTATTCAAGTAAATGTAAACAGGCCTGGTAAATCCCCTAGCATGAAGGCAGGAATTAAAAGGAGAGACCATGAATCAGGCACTCAGTGTATTGAGAAAGGAAGAAGAATGTTCTAGTAGACAATGGCAAACAGGATCAGAATTGGGTAACAAATTGATATAGAGTGAATCTTCAAGAAAGAGAGGTAGCTGAGTCTGGAAGTGGTCATGGGAATTAAGGAGTGTTATAATTCCTACTACAGAGACCAAAGAAAGTGTAGCCAGCTTAGATAAAGATGGCCAGGAATGAGATGTCATTTGACTAGTGTGGGCAAGTCTCAATGAGAGCCAGTAGACAGAAGGAATATAAAAGAAAAAGGTCTTGAATAAGGGAGGTTTGCTAATTGCAAAATGGGATTTCCAGAAGGCACAGTGGAGATGGCAAACAGGAAAGAAATGAAATATGGGGGAGGAAGGGCTGGAGCTGAGGGGATAGGGATTAGTGAGAGGGCAGCAGGAGTTGAGAAAGAGATTTCCTTTTTTTCACAGTCAGGGACTGAGGATCACAGGAATTACTATGGATGTAGAAGATGAAGTTTATTGTCAGACTCAGTTGATTTGCTGTCTAGTTTTACTGAACTGTGCTCTCTGTCTCTGTCTCTGTTTCTCTCTCTCTCTCTCTCTCTCTCTCTCTCTCTCTCTCTCTCTCTCTCTCTCTCTCTCTCTCTCTCTCTCTCTCTCTCTCTCCTTTGTCCTAAGAATGATTCTTTGGGTAGGGGAAGATGGAGGAACATGCTAGGAAATGAAGGGGATATGAAAACAGAAGATAGGAATCAAAAATAACTGCTTGCTGTTATAGAATTACAAAATGTTAGTGTTGGCATTTGTGGAAGTCCCCTTTTTCATCCCTGCCCCCTTCCCAATTCATGCATTTCTTCTGTAATATCCTTTACAGGTGATACTCTAGGCTGTTCTTGAACACAACTGGAGGTAACAGTAGTGAGGCCCACATGGGCTGCCCTGGCGGTCCACTCCATCCTAACACCACTTCACTTGCCCTTTTTCTCAGCAAGCTCTTCTCCCACATCTCTTAGGTTGTTCACAAAAAGGCAGACATTCGGCAAACGCTAGTCACCAAGCAAGGTGCCTCTTTCCTTCCCAGCACCAGCCAATCCCTGAAGATCAGATGTAGTCTTCAGATCTTTCCCAGTTGCATTTTAGCATAAAACCCTTAAATGTTTGGAGACTTACTGTTTCTTTGTTACTAAACAATTTTGCTTGTGACTACTTTTGTGGAATAGGAGGGAGTCTCCTAGATTGCCAGTCCCTTGACAGCCAGAGTTCTACTGAGTTGTGCTTCCTTTAAGCTCTACTGTTCCTTCTTCATTAACTGCCCTTATTTATTGGAACCCATATTATATATGAATAATAAAATAAAAATAAACAGGGGTCTTTAAAAAATCATTATGTCATTATACTTAGAAACATAAAACATGGAATCAAATTCTGTCTCTGCCACTAGCTACCTGTAAGACTTTGGGTAAGTCCTTTCACCTAACTGGGTCTCCATTTCCCCTTGTATAAAATGAAGGGTTTGCACTAGATGTCTCTAAGGTCCTTTCAAGCTGCAAACAATATGATCCTGTGATGATTCATTCCATTGGAGTTCATATTCTTAAGGTTTTCTGTGTCATGGCACCCTTCTAACCTGATGAAACTTATAGACTCCTCAGAATAATATTTTAATGAATAAGATAAAATACACAGGATTACAAAGGAATCAGATGATATTGAAATAATTACCTATCTATAAATATATATGTATATATCACATATATGTGCATGTGTGTGTAAGTCTAAGAATGTGTGTGTGTGTGTGTGTGTGTGTGTGTGTGATAAACACTAAATTAAGAAATCCTGGTCTAGATGAAATGAGTCTCATTGGATTTGATCCAAAGGAGTCATAAAGGAAGATGTATCAACCTAGTTAAGAACATAATTCATTCATTTATTCAACAAATATTTGAATATGTACTATGTACAATATATTGAGCTCAGAAATGAAGGGGATGCCAAAGAATGATTCTTGTGGTCAATGAGTTTCTAACCCAGCAGGGATTATAGATTAAAAGTCCAATTCAGATATCACTTTCTCCTCTCTCCCTTCCCTCCCCCAAGGGGGAAAGGATCTTTCCTTGATTACATTTCTGATAACACTTAGCTCAGACCTTCTCTTTTCACTCACATTACAGGTATTTAGGTACATGACTGTCTTCCCTGGAGAGCTCTTGGAGAGCACAGTTTATAGCTTATCTATCTTTTTCTCCCCAGTGGCTACCACAGGGCCTTGAATTCAGTCTGTGGGCACTTCCTAGATGTTTGTTGGATTGAATTAACCATGGCAGCTGTCATGTACACAAATAACCACAATGCAAGGAAAACCTGCCCACTTACTCTTATCCCAATTTTATCCATAGAGATAACAAATGCATGAAACCACAAGGGAAATTTAAATTCTGCTCTCAAAAAAGAAATATCAAAGTACTCTTAGATTGCATGCTTTACTGGGTTTAGAGACAGTTATGTTGCAAGTTTTGGCAGAAAAAAAAGAACAGAATCTTTCTTCAATTTTTCAGGGAGTTAAAACTTAAACTTCCATGTAACCTGTAGAACCTAAAAGGAACATGATGCCACACTTTGGCCACAAAGCACATCAGTTCTTTATTTGTTTTGTATTGACAAGTAGAGGACACAGACCTGTATGGCTTCGAATGTGTACTCGTAGTGTCCCATTGCTCGCAAATTTTTGTCCACAATATGGGCATATCTTCTCCTTTTCTCCTGTGTGTGTCTATGTAGAAGGAGGAAAACAGACAAAGAGTTTTAGCATAACTACACGGGACTAAAGATGTTCAGGTAGATCTCATCATGGCCATTTGTTTACGTTCCAAGATTGCATTCCCTTGAGCTGATATAACTTCTGAGACATAAACGGTGCCAACATAAATGAATTAGATGAGCAAAGAAGAAGCTACCATTCATATTTGTAGATAGGGGAGCAGCTTATGAATTAGAGGATAAAGAGAACCTCTGGAGCTAAAGTGCAAAATTATAATTACATAATTTTTAAAAGACTTTTTTTTACAGAAGCAAAAACAATGTAGCTAAAATTAAAAAGGAAGCAACTAACTGGAGGAAGAGATGTTTTCACCAAGGTTTTCTGATAAAAATTATCATTTCCAAAATATATAAGTAATTAATTCAAATATGGAAGAATAAGAGTCATTCACTAATTGATAAATGGTTAGATAATATTAATAGAAACTTTTCAAAAGAAGAAATCCAAACTATAACAATATTTTTAACAAAACACTCTGAATCACAAATAATTAATGAAATGTAAATAAAGCACCCCTGAGTTTCTACTCATCAAGATGGCAAAATTGAAAAAAAAAAAAACAAATACTGGATGGGCTGTGGGGAGGGAAATGAGCATAATAGTGCACTCTTGGTGTGGGTTTGAATTGGTCCAATCATTCTGGAAAGGAATTTGGAACTATGCCCCCGAAGTTAATAAATTATATCTACTTTTTGCCATAGAAAGACTTTCAATATTTATAGCAAATTTGGAACATGGCTGAAATTTATTTGAAAATACTACAGTTTACTTCATGAGTTTTATTTGAAGATCTCATATGTGCAATTTGTCTCATAAATCAATTCTAACATTCCAGTAAAGGAGATGTTAATTGCTCTAATACTCCACTCACTATTCTTTCCATTTTCCTGAGCAAAAATCTCTCCCTGGCCATCAATCTCCTAGTCCCATATTAGAATGTATTCTCCTTGAGGGCAGGACCTGTTTTGCTTTTTTGATTTGTGTCCCCAGCTGGTAGCACAGTTCATGGCATATAAAAAGGGATGGGGAATGGGACTGGACCTGTGTTTGCAGTAGTATAGGAAACTCTGTGATGCAGAAACTTCCTCCTCTTCTTATTCATGTAGGTACCTTCTTTGCAACTTACAGTCTTAGAGAAATGCCTCTAAAGCACTGGGAGGCTGAGTGACTTGCCCACAGTCAAACAGCCAGTATGTGTCATAGGCACAACATGAACCCATGTCTTCTGAATTCAAATTCAGCTTCCTGTTCACTACACTGCACTGCATTGGCACCTTAATAAATATCTTTCATTCATTCATTCATTCATTCATTCCAAATTGTGAGTTTTATCTTGACATGTAACTTATTTTTACAGCAGCTCCCATGCTAAAAAACAAAAAGAGACTCCTGAGGAACACAGGATCATAAACTGATCATAAAACAATGTCACTCTTCTCACTTTTGTTTTAGAAAAGTTATTTTAAAATGTTTATGATAATATACAATGGGTCTATTATTGTTATTTTAAGTGAATTGATAAATAGTTTTAAATCATCAGTTTCAGTCTCTAATACAGCAAATATTGGTAGATATAAACCATATAGACAAAAATTCTTTGGGGTACCCATGATTTTTAAGAGTACAAAGAGATCAGAAAGGTAGAGATCTGAGGTTCTATGAAACCACTCAGCTTTTCCCATGACACTGCACCCTAAAAGGCAAATGTGTATCCTCTCTCAAATACCCCACACACTAAGGCAAAGGTAAATGTAGATGAAAATAAAATCCACCTGGTGGTAAGTGAAGGCGAAACAATCATGGTTGGCTACAACATTTTAAGAATTTAACTGGTGCTTAGGTAAAAGAGTGTAAGTAATTTCAGTTTGAAATATGTAGACTGAGGCTAAAGGCAAAAGGTTCATCTATGATCACTGATATATTGAAATGTCTTAGACTACAGGCATTTTAAAGATCCATTTGGTTCTGTGTACGGTATTGTTTTACCATTTTCTACTAAGTCTTGAATTTTTAAGATGAACGTGTTACATGTTCATTTCTCAGTAAGAAGCCTTAATTCCAAGAGCCATGGTGTGGCTGAATGGAAAGTCATTAGAAAACATCAGTGTCATAACAGATAAAATACTTGACTTGGAGCTAAGCAGACCTCAGTTCAAATGCTGCCTTGTACTCTTACCAGCCTTGTGACCCTGAGCAAGTCTTCTGAGCCTCAATTTTCTCACATATAAAATGAAAGGTATGGACTTGATGGCTTCTGAGATGCCTTTCAGCTTGAGAGAAATGATCATTAGTAACCAATTATGGGGGAGATCCAGACTTTTTCCCTGTCCTATTTCCTTGATAGAAGCCCAGCCTTTGAAGGACATTACTGACCACTGCCAAAAATTTACCCCTCCAAGACCAGCTTATCTAGGTGAATTCCTGCCCATTGCATTCCACACAGACAAGTTTGGGTGGAGGTAGACCCTTTGTCTAGAGTGGTCTGGGTATAGAGAGAGTCTTTTTGTCCAAGATTGACATGATGTTACTGTCCCAGCCCCTCACTGGAATGAGCCCACCTCTCTTTGTAAAGTCCACCTCACATCAATTGTTAATCGATCAGAATTGATTGGCATCCTTAGGAACACCCACTCTTCCAAGGGGATATATAGCATGAGCCCACTGCCATGGGGGTCTTTGGCGTTTGAGAGTGGCAATGACCCTTTTATTAATAAAATTCTAGCATTATTAATGAAAGGATGAATTACCCAGAAATTATGACTCTCAACCTTTTCAAACATCACAAGCTCTAGACCTGGGATCCTACATATCATATCTCTTCCTTGGGTCTCAGTTTCCCCATCTGTAAATTGAGATGATTGGACTCAAAGGTCTCAGATCTTCCAGCTCTATGTCTATGCTTCTAGGAAACTGTTAGAAGTCTTTTGTCTTTTTTTGGGGGGGGTGTCAATGCCTGTAATTTCTTTAGTGCTGGGAATTCTCAGCATGTGAATTCTCTCTACTAATGACATTTTTAAAAAAAATGATAATCTATAACTTACATTCTTAAAGAGTTGCTTGGGGGAACTGAGAGGTTGTGAGGCTGTGACAACAGGCAGGGTCAGTATGAGTCAGAGGTGGGATTTAAAACAGAGCTTATCTCTTCTACCGCACTGCTACTCTCTTTTCCAGCACATAGACATTCAAGGGAAATTAAGCTAAGGTGAACAAATAACTTTATGATCCAGAGAGAGAAAAAATAGAAATGTAGTATTGAAGACCATGACTAAATATACCCTTAAACAGAATGAGTTCACCTTAGTTCATGGAAGCCCTACAATAGGACAAACTGAAACCACGGCATCAATGGTAGCCATTTGTGTTAAAAAAAAAATCATCCAAAAGGGGACATCCTTTCCTCACTTCATGACCTTCTTTACAAATAAAATCACAATTTCATGGAGACGTAACATACAGAAAATATAGAAGCACTCTCATATTACAAAAGACAGTGTTAAGTATATGAATCATTGTAGTCTAGAAAATTAAAAATAAAGAATCTCAATTTGAAAGGTATATTTTTTCGACAGTGTAATAGAAGTGAATTCTGTAATTAACAGTGGAATTGGCAGGCAATGTGTCTTCTAGGTTTTCATGAAAATAGGTGGCACATGTTCAGAAACAACAATATAAATAATAGCACTCGGAATTCACCAAGGTCCTCTGATCAATGATCTTAGATAATTGTGATGCATAATACTTTTTATCAGAGAAGAAATAATTCAATTGCAATTGCTTGCACATTTATTCCATACAGTGCTCAAAAGGAGTCATGCATTTGTTGGATTAAAACTCAGCTGTATATTATATAGGTTTCTAGAAATTCCAGCCTGGAGGGGTCCCTACACAGACCACATTGTCCAGTCCCCTCATTTTGGAATCTAAAAATCCACATTGAAGCCAATATTTTAAAAAAGACAATGACTGTAAACCTATGACCACTTCATCAACTTAACCAACACTACTACTGCTAGTTCCAGAAGATATCAGAAAAAGTATTGTGAATAATTCTCATTCTCTCTCTCTCTCTCTCTCTCTCTCTCTCTCTCTCTCTGTCTCCTCTCTCCTCTCTCTCTGCCTAATATATATGTGTGATCTTTTTTAAAGTAAGATAATTTTAACCAAAAATATTTTAATCCACATTACAGACACACACACACACACACACACACACACACAGAGATTTAAAATATGTTGGTTAAAATTATCTCAGTTTAAAAAGTTTATATAAATAAGTTTATTTAAGTTTACTAAGATAATTGTAACCAAAAATGTTTTAAATCCATATCATGTATATATACATATATATGGATTTAAAATATTATTGATTAAAATTATTTCAGTTTAAAAAAAATTCCATCTAATCTCCATTGGAAGTGTGTTAAAATTCACTATGAATAAAGAATGCCTAACCATGTTATTTGAGGCAATAAGATTTTGTAAAGGGTTTCTGTAACCTTTTAAGAAAACTTTTAAAAATAAGTCCAAATTGGCGATGTATTTTCTCTAGCTCATGATTTCTTGCCAATATTTCCAATGAGGTAAATCCTTCGCTACTGGAAACAAGTTAACTACACAGTGAGTCTCGACTGTCCATCCAACCATAATACTCATCAGGAAAAGTTCCAAAGGAAAATTCAGAAATCTTATGTTTCCTGCTGAACTTTTAGAGAAAAGGCAATGACCCAGCTGAAGAGTCTGGTTTCAGGGGCAATGTGCATGTGTATGCTGTGTCTTCATATTCCTAACACTTAGGAGGAACCCTATGCCTTAGCAGACCCTCCATCAGTGTTTGCTGCTGGAGAATCAGAAGTCACCAAACACATAATCCAGTAGTAGCTTCTACACCAAGATTTTTTTTTCTTTCTTTTTGGGAATAATTTCCTTTATTTTTAAAAATTTTTTTTTTGTTTTTAGGCAATGGGGTTAAGTGACTTGGCCAGGGTCACACAGCTAGTGTTATGTGTGTAAGGCTGGATTTGAACTCAGGTCCTCCTGAATCCAAGGCTGGTCCTCTATCCACTGCGCCGCCTAGCTGCCAATTTCCTTTACTTTCAAAGTGCAAGGGAAACCAGGCTCATTTAAACATCAGAGCACCTGAATTTAAATCCTTTTTCTTTGGCTTATTACCTTTGTGACTGTGGGCAAGTCATTTCAATTTCAGGCCTTGGTTTCCTTATCTGTAAAAGGAGAGGACCAGACTAGAGTCTAAGGTCCCTTGCAGATTCAGATACACCATCCTATGAAAATTTCACTTTAAATTGAGAAAGAATCTCATTTCAGAAATACTTGATTATCCTTTGACCCAGCAATAGCACTTCTAGGGCTGTATCCCAAAGAGATCATAAAAATAGGAAAAGGACCCACATGTATAAAAAATATTTATAGCAGCTCTTTTTCTGGTGGCAAAGAATTGGAAAATGAGGGGATGCCCATCAACTGGGGAACAGCTGAACAAGTTGTGGTATATGAATGTAATCGAATACTATTGTGCTATAAGAAATGATGAACAGGCTGACTTCAGAAAAACCTGGAAAGACTTATATGGACTGATGTTGAATGAAGTGAGCATAACCAGGAGAACATTGTATGCAGTAACAGCCACATTGTGTGATGACTGACTTTGATAGATTTGGCTCTTCTCAGCAATGCAAGGATCTAAGAAAACTCCAAAAGACTCATGATGGAAAATGCTATCCACATCCAGAGGTAGAGCTATGGATTCTGAATGCAGATGGAAGCAGACTCCTTTTCTTTTGTTGTTTTGTTTTATTGCTTCATTCTTGTGGTTCCTTCCATTAGTTCTAATTGTTCTTTACATCATGACTAATGGGAAAATATGCTTAATATGAATGTATAAGTAGAGCCTATATCAGATTGCATGCTGTCTTGGGGAGGGGGGGGGAGAGGAAGGGGAAGAAAATTTAAAACTCAAAACCTTATGGAAGTATATGTTGAAAACTAAAAAATAAATTATTTTTTAAAAAAGAACTTGATTAACAATACGGAAGACCCATATGATAGAACCAAGTAGCCATGGGTCAAGTTTGACTCTGACATTTACTGGCTGAGCAATCCTAAGTCTTTTAACCCCTAGTGAGCCCAGAAACCTCACTAAGCCTATAATAAGTTATAAAGAAGGTGACAGCCCAGAATCCTTGACATAGTTTTCATACCAGAAGTTCTCTGTACCAATAGAACCACAGATGTAAACTCCACACCTGCCGCCCTCCCAAAAAATGAGGGAAGTGAAAACTAATTTATTTGCGTGACAATATTTTTAAATTACAAAATCAACTTAGCTCAATAACATATTTAAATTTAAACATACTTCATATTTCCAGTTAAATATAGATCAAAATAAATTATTTTACTAAAATATTAAAACTATTATATGTACATATAGAGAGAGACATTTACGTATTTAAAATTTCAGAATAAATAAGCTTTTCCCCCAGGATATAATACTTATATATCTCCTGCTTTGGATGTTTGCTGACTGTTCCATAGTAGATGGAATGCTCATCTTAGGGTCAGGAATCCAATTCTAATGCTGGAATTTTAATCCGCCTCTGAAATTTACTAGCTGTTTGATACTGAGTAGGTCACTGAACATCTTTCTGCCCCAGTTTCTTTATCTGTAAGATAGAGATGGTCATAACACCTACCTCATAGGATTACTGTGAGGATCAAATAACTCAATAAAATTCTTAATAATATTTAATATATTTTCATTGCAAAGGACTTTGTAAAACTTAAAAGCACTATAAGCTCTAATGGTTCAAAACTGCACTGAGACTCTTGGAACACCCTGTACATGTTAGTTGTTGTTATTAAGAATGATATAAAAGAACAACTTCATCCCCGAATATGCACAATTGTATCAGTGACTTCACGTGTACATTTGAAATAGAAAATTGGGCAAATAAAGTAACCAAATCAACATTTCTTTGTACAATGTAGCTGCAAATTTCACTGGACAATGTATCCCAATTAATCAGCTTCCATTTCTGAAGTATTTATTGAGTACTTACTATGCATCTATCACTATTTAGGTCCCCTGAACCATAAAAGGTAACATTTACATAGCACCTTAAGGCTTTCAAAATGCTTTACAATCATTATTTCATTTAATCCTCACAACAGCCCTGAGAGGCATGTGCTACCATTATCCTCATTTTACAGACGAGAGAAATGAGGCAGACAGAGGGGACCTGACTTGCCTAGGGTCCCCCAGTCACTGCCTGAAGCTAGATTTGAACCCAGATCTTTGTCACTCTTGATTCAGCATTCTATCCACTGCACCTAAATTCCCTCTAATAAGAGAACAAACCTATGAATGATATATAGGACAGTGAATGGAGAGCCTCAGGCTTAGGCCCTGGGAGACGAACTGGGAATGTTTTAAAGATTCAAGTAACAAGGGAAAGAAAATACATAAGGAATTCAAACTTGTGGTGGACTTGTACTTACTTTTTTGTGACTTTTAAGCACAGAAGGTGTTACAAACGCCTTGTCACACAGATCACATTTGTATTTTTTGTGTCCATCATGGACCACCTGGATGTGAACATTTAAGGTATCTTTCCTTTTAAAGGTAGCATCACACTGATCACACTTGAAAGTTCGTTCACCTTGGAAACAAAAAAGTCAAATGTGAAGACACCAAGCAAGGCTGGGGCCCTTTCCTCCTGTCACCTCCTGGCTGTCCTTCCCCCACCAACCTCAGCCTAGGTGGAGACACTGCCTAACCATAAAAGAAAGCCATTTCTCCTGGCTGGCAAACAGCACTGCAAGCCTTCCTGCCCTTGCCTCCAGCCTGAGTGGGAAAGGGCTCCCTCACATTCCCACTGAATTTATTCCTCTTCATCTAAACCAGATGCACATGGCAAAGATAAAAATCTTATCTTCACAGCAGAGCTGGACATAAAGGTCAAGTGTGTCCAATAGATATAGGGGGAAATGGTGCAAGATAACCTTTTTGGGCCAAAAAAGACACTTTGATTTCAATCATTCCTTTCCAGATTGCCTCGATTTTTTCAAAATTTTCAAAGGACCCAAATTCCCCAAATAAAATGATTCTGTTCCATTTCATAAGCTAAGGTATAGGCTATGATTAGTTTGATCTTTTTCTAACTGTGGTGTAGCTGCCATTCAGTCATAAGCTGTGTGGGTCAAACTAGAGAATCCAACTCAGTCCAATGACTGTCAAATGTCAAAACCATAGTCGGTACTGGTTTTGAGTATGACTTTGCTATGATAATTAAAACAATAAACTGTCCATATTATTGTAACCTCTCTGAGAGTCTTTATAAGCTGCACCTTTTCCCATGACTAACAAGCATTTCTCCTTCTCCCCATACTCATGAGGATTTTTTAAAAAATAAAATCTGAATGTCTTAATAAACTATACATTTTCCTCTCAATAACCAGGGAGCAGGATGAGGGATATGAATGGAAGCAGGACCAGAAGTGTCCCATAAGGAAAGCTGATGACAGTCACCTTCTGCTCCTCTCCAACTGCCACAGAGATTCAACAACCCTCACTGAACAATGGAATTGAATATAAATATGCTATATTGGAAAGTGATTCAGTCATCTTTCAGCTGGCTGAGATTTTTTTTTGTCTGTACCAAAATCTCAGCACATGACTCTAAAGAGCACTTCAAATGGGGATTCCTTCTCTTGGTATTTTGTTTGTTTATTTCAAGGGGGGGTGTGTGTGTGTGTGTGTCCAGTGTGGTATATTTGTAGTGGAAATCATTTGCTATAAAACCAGACAAAAGAACAATTTTAAAAATGATATGACCTAGTTTCCTGTATATTTTTAAAAAGGAAGAGGATGAGGCTTGTATAAGATTTAGGTTTTCTTTTTTTTTTTTATTACAATCCTCCTCTCTTCCACCATGTTTTCCAATGGTACTTATTCAGTCATTTCAGCCGTGTCCAAATTCTCAAGGCCCCATTTGGCATTGTCTTGGAAAAGATACTAAAGTGGTTTGCCATTTCCTTCTCCAACTCATTTTACAGGTGAGGAAACTAAGGCAAACAGGGTTAAGTGACTTGCTCAAGGTCACACAGCTAGTACATAGGTAAGGCCAGATTCAACTTAGACTTCCTGACTCCAGGCTCAGCACTCCATCCAATATACCACCTTGCTGTCCAATGGTAGTTCACAGGAAAACACTAAGACAGGGTGGGGAATCTGTGGCCTCGAGGCCATAGATGGCCATCTATCTCCTTAAGGGTAGCCTTTTGACTAAGTCCAAATTTTACAAAACTGTGAAGTTAAGATTCAGTTGAAAGGCCTCACTTGAGGACCTACACAGCTACAAGTGGCCTCAAAGCCCCAGGTTCCCCACCCCTGCCCTAAGAAAAGGTAAAGGAGGTACTGCATGCTGTTTTCAGAGATCAGATGAAGGGAAAGGCCTATGTCCTCTCTTTGGCAAAACCAGCTGGGTGCCAAAGTAACTGGTTTAGAAAGATGAAGAGGTAATGTCAGCAAGAGTACTGAACCAAGAGCATGAACCAATTCTAAGGCATGATGGTAGAAAAGAATACAAGTATAGAACCCAGTAAGCCTGAGATGAATGCACAATGTTAGGCTCTGAGGTCAAGGAACCCATTTTATTCAGCTTTTATTCCTTAGTTCCTCATACACAAGGCTTCTGCAACAAGAGTCAATTTGGAAACCTCTATTAAATTCGCAAGTCTTGGTGCAATGTGTGGCATAGATACTAAGAGAAAGAGAATTCTGAAAAAGGTTTTTTTCCCATATCATTATATTTATTCTCATAGTCCCCATGTCAAAACCATCTTCAAAATCATTTGAAATACAACTAATGTATATTAAGGAGGAAGAGATTTGGGATTCAAAAAAGATCTCAAGAGGCTTGGAAAGTCTGGTCATATCTAGGAAGATGAAACATAGTAGGGATAAATGTGGACTAAAAGCTCAAGCAATCAGTTGCACAAGGATGAAATGGGGGAATATGGTTAGAACATAATTCATTGGGATGTTAATAGACAATAAGTTTAATATGAAATGAGGGCAGTATGATACAGCTGAAAGAGAAATAGAACCTCAGTTCAAATCCCAACTCTGACACTTACCACTCATGTGATCTCTGGCAATTCACTTGCTTTCCTAATCTGGCAAAAGAGTAGCTTGGATTAAATGGCCTCCAAATGGCCCTTCCAGCTCTATGTTTATGATACTATGATTGACAGCCAAAAAGCCAATAAAAGTTTACGCTGTATTACAATTACATCCAGCTCTAGCAATACGAGAATGTAAATGCTCTCTGGCTGATCATGGAGCATTGCGTAAAGTTCATTAATCAGCTGGAGAATGTCCCGAAGAAGGCATCTGCAGTGGTGAAGGGTCTCAAGATTGTATTGTAAGAGGATCAGCTGAAACAAGTAGGGATTAGCTTGAAGAAGAAAAGACTTAAGGGAGGGATGATGTTAACTGCCTCCAATTATCTGAAGGGCTCTCATGTGGGAAAAGCATTAGATTTAATCTGCAGTGAAGACCTAAGAACAAGAAGTAGAAAAGAAAAAATATATGGATCCCTTCTCCCCCACCCACCCAGAACCCCATATTAGAGTAGTCCAAAAGGAGAATGGGCTCACTCAGGATATAGTAGCTTTGTCTCATTGGAGATGGGAGGGGGGGAGGAGTGTATGTTTCAAATAAAGACTAGAGAGTGTAGGTGGAGTATTTCCCCAGGTACAGGTTGAACTAGATGCCCCTAACAATCTTTTTTTTTTAAACTCTGATATTCTGTCATTTACTTCTTTAATGAGGGAGCTAGTTAGCTCTTTCTCTTGGGATTGGAAGGAAATAAAAATTGTGATAATTCCAGACATCATTCTGATTTATTCTTCATATTCTACAGCCATAAATGCCATTTGTTTTCTCATTTTATTGGTTTCTGTAATGAATTAAGAGAAGATTGAATGTACTTGAGTTACGATTCTTCTACAATCTTCTATTATATTTTATTACTTTTCTTAAAATTGTTAGTCTTACCTGACTGATGAGGAGTTGCATGCCTGCAGTTTCATTAGTGTAAAGAGTTCCTGGTACAGAAACTCCCTTCACTGCCACAGCTCAGTAACTTATCAGTAACTTTTAGTCCTGGAGCTTTTTGTGGGGCACTAAGACTTTCAATAACCTGTCCTTGGTCACAGAGATGTTTAATGACCAGCTTTCAGTTACACAGCCAGTCCATGTCAGAGAGAGTACTTGACTCCATGCTTGCTCCTCTATACACTATAAAACAGTGGGTTTTTTTATTTAAATTTTCCTTTGGTGATTTTAAATGAAGATTCGTAAAGATGAATGAATCATTTTTAACTAGCTAAACATCTGGGTAGCTCTTTGGAAAATATTTGATTAATATACTTTTAGTACATATGATTTCATTGAAATCATATCCTGACCCACACCTAATTTCACTTGTCACCTTTAATCTCATACTTCTCTGGTTGTCTGAAAGCTAATAAATAGGAATGAAAAGTATTGGATTCTTCCCATTGATTATTCACTGTTACTATGAGAAATCAAGTTACACTGTACAAGAAGAAATTTTCCAGAATGTTTGGCCAAGATTTAGCTACACAAATCGAACTGTTGTTAGTGGAACTGACTTTTTTTTTAACCCCCATTCTAAAACTAATTAATCTTGTAAATTTTTTTTAAATAGCAAAATGCTTTTGAAGTAAGGTGAAATCATTGCTGTGATACAAAATAGGATCTCATTTTTGTTTCCTCTTTTATACAAAATTGGGAGTCAGTTGCATGATGCTTAATTCTGTCTCCAAAGCTAAGAAGCTTGAGAGGTAGGCACCAAAGGCATCTAAGAGATGTAGCACCCTCTTTCTCAATGGAAAGAAGCTTAGTATAGTCGATCACCATCATTATCATCATGATGCAACATTTACAGAAGTCATAGCAACTTGATTCTCTTGTTCTCAAACTTTAATATTCATACATAAAGGAACTTCTCCAAGATGTGTTTTTCTTTCAAACATATTATCCAAACCCATGAGTCTTTTTATCTTAAAAAAAAAAGAACTTTCAAGACTGTAACTTCAGTAGAGTAAGATGTGAATGAGTCTAGCAATACATAATTAACTTCCTCCTATGGAACATGTCCAGGTAAAAGAGAGAAAATTCATAAGTCATGATTTCCCAAGGATAGGTAGAGTTAAGAGGAGCTTAGATTTTCTTTTTCCCCATCATATAAAATTCCAATCTTTCAGAAGCAGAAGCCACAATATTTTTCCTAAAGCCTCGAGTTCACAAAATTGATGTCTTAAAAAAATTATAGGTATTATAATACCTTATGAAAAAGAAGGGGAAAAAAGAAAAGAAAACCCTAAATTTAAATTTTCTGGAACAGTTCTCTTATAGATTTTTACGGAATCCCACTTTTTCCATTAAGCAAAATCTCAACTGCTCTCCTACTCTGTATGGATCTGAACTCCTGAAAAAAGACTCGAATATTTCATGGAGTAGGAGGAAAGAAAGGAATAGCACCCAAAACTGGAGTCCCAGAGTCCATATACAAGGCCTCAGCCTTTATTATCTAAAATGAACTTGAGAGGCTACAACGCACAGTCAAATGTAAGAAGATGAAATTTAACAAGGATCAATGTAAAGTCTCATACTTGGGTTTAAACAATGAATTACACAAGTAAAAGACGTGACTGGAAAATATTTCTAAGGAAAAAAAAAGATATGAGGATTTGAGTGTATTATAAGCCCCAACATAAGTCAATGTGGCAACTAAATAATAATGACAATGTGACCTTAGGCTACATTAATAAAAGCATAATATTTGGAAAGAAAGACATGATCATCAGATGATGTATTCTTCCCTGCTCACACCTGGCATACGGTATTTGGGACTGGGCATTTTAGTTTAGGAAGGACACTGAAAGATAGAAATAATTCCAGGGAAGGAAATATGTACAGTGAGAAGACTTGCTCAGTTGAAAGAATTGGTGACATCTGGCCTGGAAAGGAAAAGAAAGAACTGTCTTTGAGGGGTTGGCCTGTGGAAGGAGGAGAATTATAATATATGTCCTCAGAGAGTAGAATTAAGAACAATGAGAGGAAGAGGAAGAGAGGAAGAGTCCTGTTCAGTTCACAGAAATACTTGTTGGCAGTCAGAGTCATCTGAAAAGAAAGTGATGTGTGAGAGATAATGAGCTCTTTATTACTGGATGTCTTCAAGTAACGGCTAGATAACCAATCGCCTCTTACATTCTCAAGATTCCATGCTTCTAAGACTATAGGATTTCTGTAGCGTACTTGGTATGAATTGAATGCATGTTCCTTCAAAATAAGCAAAAGACCTGAGGGAGTGCAGTCTAGTGGAAAGACCAGTGGTCTGGGAGGCAGGAGCCTTAGGCTCTCCGCTCAGCTCTGTCATCAACTCATGGTGTGAGGTTGGATGCCACAATCCACCTGGGCATTTGTTTCATCCCAGGTCAAAATGTGGATAATATCTAAGGTCCATGGCATCACAAACCTTTTCTGATCATTACGGCTGTTCCTTTCAGTCATTTGGGTCATGAGAAATAACTATGTTTGAGATCCATTTTAGTAAATTCCAAGAACACTCCTAAACCCAAGAAGTCATTCTGGTGGAAAACTTAAAAGGGGATTTGGAAGAAAACTTGGGAACAAACCGAGTCAGTTTGGGAATCAGAAGGTAGAAACAAAGTTCTCCAATCTTACCCTGAATTTCCCTGTTTTAGACGTTTAGGAGCACAAATGACTTTAGAACTATGTACTCCATCCATCTCATGGTACAGAGGAGGAAACTGAGGCTACGGTCATGTGAATATGAAAAAGTAAGCCATGATTTGAGTGGAGGTCTCAAACTTCACATTCAGCATTCCTTCCTTTATGAAGATTGAGCAATCCTATAATTTAACCCAGTCAACAATTCCCTATGCATAGAAGAGTTTTCACAAGGCTTTTCCTGTCACAGATATTGCTTGAGTGAGTCAGCAGGGGCTCAAGGAGCCTGACAACCCTTTCTTTGCCCTTTTGCCCTCTAACCAAATGCCTGAATTGGCACTTACTGTTATGTATTAGCAGGTGTCTCTGCAAAGAGAAGGGGGTCCGGAACAAAGCTTTGCATTCCTCACACTGGAAGGGCCTCTCCTCAGAGTGGGTCTGCAGATGAAAGAGTGTGTCAGGCAGAGGACCAGGAACATCAGTTAGTCATTTCAGAAATGGGGAGCTACTTGGGTTTTGTGGTGGAAGACTGAAAGACAGGGAATGCTGTAAAGGTCCTAGCAGCTGCAATGTCTCTGTGGTGATACTGGCTGGTCATTCCCTGTACATGAAGTGTTTACCAGTCCTTCTGGTAAGGAGATCACATGAACTTTATCAGAAAAGCTCTTATAAACATGCAACATCCCAACCTTCAGCCTTTGGGTTAGGCTATTCCCCCATACTTGGAATATGCTCCCTGCTCACCTCTGCCTCCTGGCATCCCAAACTTCCTTCAGGTCTCGGTTGGAGAGTGATCCTTTATAAGAGACCACTTCTGCTATCTTTCTTCCCCTCCCTTCCCTTTGTTTATGCATTCCTCTCCTCAATAATAGTCTTTGTTAATGCATTCCTACGACCAGCTTGTAGATGCATTGCCTATGTTTTGTATTTATTTATTCCTTTGACTAGAATGTAAGTTCTGTGTGCATCAAAAACTTTTTGAAAAGTTTAAAATCTGCTCACATGCATTTATTCACTCTAATGAAACTTGTGAAAAGTTATAATTTTTCCTTAAATTAATGATATAAAAATAGGGGAAATCACTTGGAATGTAAACCACTTTATTACTGAAAACTTTAAACATTATTAGTATAGTTAAGGAGTGATCTTGATTTGAAATGTAATCAGATAGAGATTACACCTACATAACTTTCACATTATCTTGATGTGTCTGTTTAAAAAGTAAGAGGAACCAATTAAGTAAACTGTTTGGGGCAAAAAAGATCAGTTTCATAATTTAGAGCTCAGCAACCAATCACGTATTTTTCCGTTGCTCACTCTATGCTAAGTACTAGGGATACAGAAGCAAAAACATGGTGACTTCCTTCAAAGAGGTTACAGTTTACTGGGGTTGATGGAGATGGGGTGTAATAATGTACACTTAAATAATAAACATGGTAAATGCAAGGTAATATTAGAGTGAGGGGACCTGGAAAGATCTCTGTTAATGGAAAGATATGGAGATAAGAGATGGAGTGTCTTGTTTGAGAACAGAAAGCAGGCCAGTAGGACTGACCCATACAATGCAGGAGGAAGGGTCCAGTTGTGATAAGTTTTAAATACAAAAATGAGGAATTTATATCTCCTCCTAGAAACAATGAGTGACTGGATTTTAATGAGTGTTAGAACTGCAGTTTAAGAAAAGCATTTTGACTGATACTGATTCTTATCATATAGTGTGAACGTTCTAGGTTTCTTTGCTCTTTGCAAGTTCTATGTAGGATGGTATTTTATTTCTGTGGTGTCATTGTAAAGGACAGAGATATTCCTTCGAGGTAGAGATTTCATAGGTTGGCAATGAATGAAGTGGGAAAAGACAGAGCTCAGTCTTTGAAGTAGCATGAAAGGAACTGGCTCATATTTTGACCATAAAGTCTTTCTAATCTGATAAATGGCCAAAGCCAAGTGACAGATCCATGGCCAAGTGATTGAGCATTCTCTCTGCAAAGATCACCACCACATTCTGGACTGCTTGCATCAGCACTATCTACCCTACTAATAGTCACTGTAGAGAAGCCAACAATAGACTGACTAGCCAAATCAGTAAGCATTTAAATACCTACTATGTGCTAGCCATTGCCCAAAACCAGTCCCTGCTTGGTAGGAGCTCACAGGGTAATGAGGAGACAACATGCAAACGCTTATGCACACAGAAGACCTGTACAGGATAAATTGAAGATAATCTCAGGATGAAGGTACAGAGACTAGACACAAAGACATGGAATGGGCCCTTCTCACCTTGGAAGAGCACCCTACAGGACTAGACTGAAATGGATGGGAGTGATAAGGAGAGGGGAGGCACTTCTGTAAAGGTAACTCAGTGACTACAGTACTGGGCTTGGAGTCAGGAAGATCTGAATTCAAATTCTTCCTAAGACACTCTGTGATCCTAGGCAAGCCATTTAACCTCTATCTGCCTCATTTTCCTCATCTGTAAAATGGGAAAAATGATAGCACCTACTTCACAGGGTTGTTATGAAGATGACATATATAAAGTGTTGCACAAACTTTAAAGTGTTGTTGGAAAGCTATAGTTATCATAAATCATTAGAGCTTGCATGCTTCTTCCTATAGACTGCTGAACCTTTTTCTGGAACAGAATTCCAAACACCTTGCTGATTTTCCAAATTATATGATCTGTTCCCAACAAGACTTAGCCAATTTCAATTTCTAGAGAAATTATTGATGACATCAGCATGTTGAAGGAAAACTCATTATGTAAGTCTGTGAAAAAGCCCTAACGCCCATCCAAAACAGATTATGCCACCTTCTACAACACTGTTTCTAACCTAGGTAGATTCCACCTACTTACTAACCTTCTAACCTACACACCTACCAAAAAATGTATTTAATTTTTTTCAGATCTAGAGCTGTAAGAAACTTCAGATGTCATTGAATCCAACACCTTCATTTTCAAGAAGAGAAAATAACATCCTAGAGAAGGTGAGTGACTTCTGGTAGATGGTCACACAGCTAGTAAATGGAAAAATTAGGATTTAAACCCAGATCCCCTGACTCCAAGTTTATGCTCTTTCCAGTCTACCACATTACCATCCTTATATAGATTTTGTAGTGATTTATATGTGCACAAGTTTTTTTTTTTCTTCCCAATAGTTTGTAAGCCCCTTGAAGGCAAGGATAATTTTGGTTTTGTCCAATATCTAAGTATGATTGACACATAATAGATCTTTAAAGGGCTCATTGAAAATGTAAATGAAAAGGATACCAACAATCACAACCCCCCCAAAAAAACAAAAACAAAAACCCTGCATGCCACTTAAATATAATGACCAAATTTGGCTACAAAAACTCATTCAGAAAACGCGCCTTCTTCAAAGAAGTGGGATATCATGAGTGTGTGACATGCATATTCTGTCAGACTTGAGCAGTGTGTTGACGAGTTTGGTTGAAATGCTTTACTCTCTGTCACTCTGTGTCCCAGTCTTTCTCTCTTACTTTTTGTTACAAAGGATGGGGGAGGGGAGGATATCTTTGGAAATTAATTTGATGTCAAAATAAAATCTAAAAAGAAAAAAAAAAGCTTGTTGTGTGACTGACTAGATAAATGAATCCCTTTGCATGCCACGACAGAATCTGAATCCCAATTGATTATGGCCTTGTTGGACACCAAAAAAATCTACGCAAAAACATGAAGTCCTCTTTGTAGCTACTTAGAGAAAAGGGTTTCAAACTTGCTTCAGTGGGACATTTGATGTTATTTCTCTGTGGGAATTGCTGAATTGGTAAATTCCTCACCACATTCATCAAATATTAACCTTATGGCAGAAGTGAAACTTTCATCAGGGCCATTTCAAGCTGAGTAGTAAATGTGTCCATCAGTAACACGAGCTTTGCCACATAACCCTGTATTTTACTGGAAATTCCACTTATTCAGTAGGTCATGTTCGGGACATGAAGATCAGTATGAATATTGCTGGAAAAATCCAGAAACCAAGCAAACTTAGGGGAAAGAACCAGTAGGGAGGATTTTTGCTAGAACCATTCTTTTTTTTTTCCTAAAAAAGTATGGTTCTCCCTAAGCATAAGACAAAATGTCCTAAGCATATGACTCTCCCTTAGGGGCAGTACATAAAATTGAAGTTACATGAAAGGCCTGTCTTCTTGCTTTCAAAATCAGTGGATTAGATTTTTACTGCTAGCTTTTAAAGTGAGTTCCCTAAAAACAGCTATTTCTCCACCAGAGATAATAGAATCTGGGAACAGAATGGTGAAATCCACTTTTCTAGAGGGTAAGTTATCAAACCCACTCTGAGACTGAGCACAGTAGGAGTGGGAGCTCACATTCTCAGCAGGGATCAGTGGGTTCCATAAAATTTAACAAAATCTCAGTCATAGCTCTGCCACCATTTTTACTTGAAACAGTATGTGGCTGCACTCTGATCCAAGCTGGTTTGGTCTATGAGCTGGGAAGGCTAAGTAATGTGCTTGCCACTGAGGGTTATTCTTATGAAACTTGGGTTGAAATCAACTACCAACTTATTCCTCCTAATGCATAATTTTAAAATAATAGTCTGCGCACAACTTGTCATTCTTCTGATAAGATGAGCCAGTCAGATCAAGACCTGAATCCCTAGCCTGGAGTTATTTCCCTCCTCTCCTGCCTGCACAGTGCTTATATGTGAAGTTCAGGCCTAAGTCAGGGGGCGGTTGGAGCCAACTCAATTATTAAATTTTCAGTCTGTGTATGTAAACCTCAGAAATTGGCATGTGTTACAAATCAGGGCTCAATTTATTGTTTTATTGTTGTCTTGACTTAAAAAGGTAATGGAAAAAATGTCAATAATGTAGGTTAAACTTTTAATGTACATACATGTATATATTATATATATAATATAATATACATTATGTATACATAGATATGAATGTTACATATTGTATGTGAACATATAGAATATATATACACATATGTTAGAGTTGTTTGCTAAACCTTTACCAGCATACCCATAGACTTAGTGGCACATGCACTAGGAGAAGAAAAACATAACGTATATTTAGATAGTACTATAGTTATAAATTACTTAAGACTCCTCTCATTTGAATATTACAACTTGATGAGATCAGATATTTTGTGTGTCGTCATCATCACCATCATCATCATCATCATCATCATCATTCCCACTGACGTTATAATATCCAGTGTGGAGTAGCAGATAGAGAGATGGTCTCAGAGTCAGGAAAACATTCCAGTTCTGACTTTGACCCATTCTGGCTGTGTGATCCTGGGCAAGCTCTCAGCATTCTCGATAGCTTTATAACATTTTCAGTTTCACAGAAGGGCTGACCTGCCTTGGTAGAAGGAGTTCCTCAACAGTAGTTTCCTAAATGGTTGAAATTACAGATCAAGTCCTAGGCCTATCTATTTTGCAAATGAAGAAACT